GTCTTCAATGACACATCCAAGCCTCTTCTCTGCTTTGAAAAAAAGTTTTGAGTAAGAATTGTATGTTTGCACCCCAAAAGGACAGCCTCGTTTCCCCCCAGGTCAATGATCGTACTGAGTCTCAACAGACAAAAGCTGAGGCCACCGGCAGAAGGGGCTGTTTTATTCTGTACGAGAGTTCTAAGCGTCATAGGGACATAATAATTTTCGAGCTAATTATGTAATGCTTAATGTGATCATTTCGCAGAAAAGCAAACTCCTCCCGAAGGACAGAAACCAGTGCAGTGCGGAACTTGGACCAAATATGCCGAAGGAGGCATCTTCACTTCTCCCAATTACCCCAACAAGTATCCTCCTGACAGAGAGTGCGTCTACATCATAGAAGGTGACCAGCCGGAGAATCTTTCTATTCTATCATCAACTGCATTAAAAAAATAAGTGTTTTATTTTATGGTATGTGAAGAGTAGGTAAAGCCTATAGGATAACGATAAATCCTTTCAAGACACAAGATGTAGAGGAGGTCTATCTCTGAAATTTTTCTTCGTAAAAAATTTCAAAATTTTGTACAGCGTACCAAGAAATACTGGAAAATAATTGACTCATTTCCTGACATCACTCGTAAATTAGTGCAGGTGGTAAGTACGCACGAGTCACTTAGTAATAAACACAGTAAAATTTGTTTCAGGATATTCAGAGAATGAATAGAACCTAAAACGCTGTAACATGGCAGAAGAAAGAATGTTTTAAAATGAGTAAAGAAAGTGGACACAGGAAACTAAAATGCTTCTGACTTTCATACAGGTATTTCAAAGTTACCATGACTGAATCAGGGCTGACAAGCGTAGGTAGGCAGAGAACAGTAAAGAAAATCATACAGAAAACATCCATATAGTGAGTGTAAAAATTATTTTCCATCCAGTTGTTAATGAGAAATGAAAATAAACGGGAAAAGAACCCCAAAACCAAACCAAACCCAGAAAAGAACAAACATTGACCCCAGCTTTTGAAGGGCAGACAGCCGCGGGCACGGAGGTGGTGTAAGGCCAGAGGTGTGTTACAGACCAGTTACGCGGTTTCTTTCCACCCGTCTTAGCACAGCGGGTGTTGAAGGGATCGTGGTGAAAATGAGTCTGTGGAAGGGAACAGAGATTAGACACCGCCCGAGCTCAGTGGCAGAAAAGGTGAACCATGGACAGAGGGGTAGGTGGTTGGAACCAAGCAGATTCGCTCGTGAGTGGTGAACCCCACCAGGACACAGCGCTGGCGCTTGTTCCGACCGGGCTTGGTTGGACAGAGCTGTTAACTACAGGTGATGGAGCCAGGAATTACAGAAATATTTATTTTACTAAAGGTACCAAGAGAGATTTCCAAAGGTGTGAAGCCGATTCAGCTTGAATTAGCTGCTTTGGATCCCCCCACTGGGCCCTTTTAGAAACCAGTCTGTCTTTCCAAACCCAGTGCTGAGTTATCAGAAGAAATATATTTCATAAAAACCCTCTGGGGAAACGCTGGAGAGTAGCTGTTGTCTGTATTGTTTAGGAAAAATATCACTGCAAAATGACTGAATTCCACTTTAGTGCTAGGTAAGCTGACTGAAGTTGGAGGTAAAGAGGTGATTATGAATCATGGAATGAAACAAGCCCTTTAAAGAAAATCTATGCTTGTCCAGCCTTCCCACTTCAGTCCAAAATTTAAGCAGATGTATGGTAAACATTTAAATTCTTTCATAGTTTAGTAATGGCTTTAAGACAAAATTTTTTTGAAATACAAATGTATAGGTTCAATATGTAGTACTTAGCGCTACAATTTTGTTACACTTACGTTGCTAGATCCAGGTCTTTTTGCATATATTGATCAAATTATCTTTCTCACATCCCTGTGAGGCTGGGAAGCAGTAAGCCTGTTTTATTGTCAAGGATCTGAAACACAAGAGATGTGTTTTATCGTTAAAGAGGGAGGGCGTGGAAAAAAATTAAAATACAAGCATTTTTGTCAACCCTAGTCCAGTATCTCAGGCCATATGGTGTTCCTCCTCTTAGTAACAAGGTGCCTGAAAGCCCTTCATTTTAGAGAACATTGTCCTTATTATAGTAATTAAGTACTTATAAAAATACAGTTCATAAACTGAAAGGTGGCAAAATAGGCTGTTGAAATAACCTGATTTAGAATAGCCCGAATTGGAAATGTTTAAGAACAATTTAGGAATGAAAGATTTAATCAACCAGCTTCCGTGGCGAAGGTGAAATTCCACGGTGACAAGTTTGGAGCAATGTATAGTAAAAAGAGTCATCGGGACTCAAGTGACCTCACGTCACATTTCATGGGAAAAATCAATCTGGCAGAAGCTGGTAGCACACAATTTCTTATGACACTGACGTTTTCTGCTTCCTGCCCAGCCGTAATCAGCAGCTGGGGTTGCAACTGGGTTTTAAAACCCCACGATGGCAGCAGCTCTACCAGTGAGTGTGGAGTCTGATGAGAACTGTGCACATCGCACACACTTTCAGCTCTGATCTCCCCGAGTCTACTTCCATCTTCTGAAAAGCTCAGTCTGAAAAATGTCACAAAAACAAACAGAGATGTAGTGAGGCGTCTGAGCAATGCTGTTTTTAAAGTGGCAGTTTTCAAAAAAAAAAAGGGAAAAGGAGAAACACTGAAGGACAACGAAATTTATTTTGTCATTACAGTCAATTATTTGTCCGTATTTATTCTTTTTACAACATATAAAAATGGTTGAAAATGATAAAGAAGGGTAGCAAGCGAAAACTTCTTGCCATATCTTTTATATTCTGTGGAACTCCGGAGTACGAAACGGAAGTCAAAGGATCACAAAAAAAAAAAAAAAAAGGATTTATTATTTTTTTACTTTGAACAATATCTTTGAGGTCAGATAACAATCTATGGAGTGGGCAATGCTCGCTCATAGAGGTCGCAAACATCCATTCCATTTTAGGGTAAGGCAGAACCATCTCCGTATGCGTCTTGTATTTATGACTGAGATTTGAACACACCTTAAACGGCTCCTGGCTGCTGCTGAACGGCAGGTACCGAAGCAGGGGGCTGCCGAAGGGGCCTCTATCAGCGTTCCCACATCGGTGTCTCGCTTTTGTCTGTCCTGGGGAGTTCAGCGTGCCAGGGCTGTATATACCGTACCGACTGCTGGGCGGTGTGAGTTTTAATACTCATATGGGTTCCCTCCTGCCTGCTTGCTTTCATTCCTTTGTTTTTTGCTATCAGGCACAATCTAGGGAGAATTCGGATGGCTTCCCTCAAACACGGCTCCTACGGACTTTAGCGGACTGGAGCGAAGACTCCAGCACGTAGCGTGTTGTCATAAAATTGGATTTCATCTCATGGTACAATTTTTTCCCCCACATTGTAGCTGATCTTAAATGCATGCAAGCCTTTTATCATTTCAAAATTACTTTGGTGAAGCAAAGGAGATGGCAAAAATTGCCGTGATCATAGACTGCGAGTTTCTAAAAGAGAAGAGGATTTCTGACTGCAGAGGCTGCTATCCTAGCAGTCAAAGGCAAAAGCAGATCAAACAGCTAGAAGTTTCTTTTTCTTTTTTATTTTCTTCTATTTTAGTAATAATGATAATTAACTATTGGAACAGCTAGGAGTTTTAAAGTCCAGATTGGATGCCTTTCTAAAAGAAATCCTTTAGGTCATCCAGAAGTCATGGACTCGGTAGAAAAATTGTTATGGTAGAGAGGAGCTTCTGGTGAATCCCATCTGGCTTTTGAGAATTTCTTCTTTTTTTTTTCTGTCAGGCTTATTTGGCATATAGAAAACATAGGAAATAGCTGTGCACAGACATGAAAATCCCTGTTGGGCCCGATTTCACCCTTGTTTCGCATATTCATGGCTCTAACCTGGCAAAATCCACAGCTGCCCAGAACAGCAGCAGCAGCAGCAGCCTTTGCCAGGCTGCAGAAAACTTGGCACGTGTGCTCCAAAGGAAAATTTGCACAGGAGATTGTGTAGGAGCGAAGGCCTTTGTTTGTGTTAAAAATATTTGGGGTGCGGGATAGTCACACTTTACACAATAGGTCTTAAGAATTGGTTTGGAAACCCTGTAAGTGAAATACTTGTAAGGTTTTATCCGTTCTTCGGTTTTTAATAATTAAACGCTTATTGATAAATATCGGTGTAGACTAGAGTTGCTTTATGGAGATATGAAATAAATCTTCCACATTGGCAGCGGGGGGACAGTTAGAGTTAGCTCTCTTGAAGTTCTTCCATCTTTTCACTAAAGACTCTTCAACTCTTTAGTCCCAAATACTTCACAGGTGCTAGAAAATGGTCACGTATCACCGCACGAACAATCTCTGCTCAAAGCCCTTTTGTATTTCGCAGTGATTTTTGTGTTCAAAACCACTTTCATCAAAACAAGGAAAGAATTCCCTTTTAAAAGGAGGATATAGGGGGCTTTCTTATCTATAACGGCTGGACAATCAGAAAGACCAAGGATTATTGAAAACTATTAGTGCTGTAGCAGCTCAGATAGATGGGGGTAGGTGTTGAGTTCAATGTCTCATTTCCATGAAGCCTGGTAAATTGAAACAGATTTTTTGCTTAACTTCAGCTGTCAGTTGCACAGACTTAGAGGCTGATCAGAATTAAATCCCTAATTGTGTGGTTTTGCTGCAACTGTTCTGCTGCAAGTCGAAACCCAATGCCTTTTTTTTTTTATTGAATGTAAAAATCTCAAGACAGCACTTGTGTAAGATAATTAGATGAAAAATATGACAAGGCATGTGAGCATTAAGGAGTCTTTCCATGGTATTAAACATTTTTCAAGGAAGATAATTGGAAGCTAAATAGGGAAGATTTCTAAGATTTGAAGCAAAATCGTTTTCTGAGACAGCTTCAATGCATTTCGTTTGGACTTGTCAACAACTCTCCCTGACATTGTAGCCTCAGTAAAAGTTCTGAAGATGTGAATGGGCTTTACCTGTGGATAAGGATACCAGAAATGACCACTTCATCCCTCCTTTTCTGGTTAGATGGCCAGGTTCCAATCCAGTCTGGAAGCATTGCGCATTCTGGGCTTTTTCTTTGGTTCGGTTTTGTTGTTCTCTGGTTATATATACAGTATTCTTAGTTGCTGTTCTGGACTTTTCTCGCTGTGTTTCTGTATTTTTACTGTGACCGCATTTGCACACGCTTTGTTGCAAGAGCTATGGCACAAGGTGTGTATTTATACCATACCTGCTTGTTCTAGCTTGATTGTGGTGAAGAAACCCATTGTTAAAGCCAAGTATAAGTCCAAAATGATACGTTTTTCGTTAAAAGAAAGTTAAAGTTGGGAGTTTGAATTGTTTGTTTTCATCCCTTATGGTGATTTCCGTTATGATGGAATATGATGAATATTTTTCATCATATGAATGTTGAATGGAATGAAAAAATGAATAATTTTGTTTCTTAGGTAGATGATTGTAACAAAACGTTTTAACTGTACGTACCGTACAAGATGAAGCACAGAGGGGCATTTAAAAGCACTTGATGGAAGGAGCCTGGGTGCGTGTGGAGCACCCTTTCCTCCCTTTGCCCAAGCTTTTGTGGTCACCACAGTCCTCACAGTTACAGAAACACTGGGGGAGAGCTGGGAGAAAGGACCTCATCGTGCCTGGACTAGCTCGCCGAGCAAGCTGGGACACAGGCAGGACCTACACCAATGCCCAAAACAGTCCAGGAGGTGTTCACCGGCCTTCAGGCCGATAGGCACAACCACACATGTGCAGATTGAGTCCTTCCACCCTCCCAGTCAGGAGTACAGACACGCACCGCTTGCTGGGAACGGGCCTTGGCCGACGCAAACCACCACGTCAGCCTAGGGACGGGCTTTGGCCGTTCCCACTGGCATGGCCAAAATGATGCCGGGAGGAGATCTTCACGTTTAAGGAGTGTGAATGGCCAGTGATCCAGCCCTGAACTCATTCCCCAGCCTCGTTTTATTTAGCAGTGGAGAAACGGCGCTAATAAACACTCCGTGCTGCGTTCTCAAAGCGGAGCAGCCTCTGCAGATGGGAGCTTTGGGGGAAAGCAGCAACTCTTTCTTGAGCGCCCCTTCAGCTGATGGGATTCGCTGTGATCCTCTGGCAACTCTGGGCTTCTCTAGGAAATGCCTTGACTTGACTTTGAAAAATAAATAAAAGCCGAGAAGAAGAAACTGCTGCAATATTCTGGTCGTAAAACTAGTTTGCAATGTGAGATGCAGAGAGCTACGTGGAGGCTGTGGAAATTGCCCAGAATTTTTCTCAGGCTGTGCTCTCACTGAGTCAGTAGACATCACGCCTAACTCTCTAGGCCTGGTTCTCTTTTACCCACAAAGACTCTTTTATACCATACTGAGGCTGTAACTGGCTTCAGGGCTTCTTTTCAACGCCAAAAATCACATCAAATGACTGAGCTGTAACTCAGAGGGGGGCTCACGCCTGGTTTTATCGTATGCTACACGAGTCTTGGATTCAGAGACCTGTTGAGGGTTTAGCTATGGGCCAGCACTTGCGAGCCTCCTCTTGGCATGAAATTGAGCAGCAAGGGCCTGACACAGGAGGTGAATGAAGGACAAAAGTGTCACGTTAACGGTGTAAGCGGGTTTTGAAGCATCTCTTTGTTGCTGTGGAAAGCAGAGCAGCTGCCCATTGTGGTCTGATGCTGTCTGACACTAACAATACTAGCAGAATTCACCTTCATATCTAGTTTGCCGCATTAAAACATGACGATGAAGCCTTAAGTAGGTTCATACCATAATATTCCAATAGTGAGTGTGTAAGGTTTTCAAGCCTTAATGAGTGTTCTTGAGATTACCTAAAACGTTGTCAGGATGGAGCTTCTCATACGTGGCTCTGCATTCCCTAGGTGAATGATGAGTAGCTCTCAAAATGTCCCCTGAAATGGAGTGAAAGCATATAAAACATGGTCCCAGACTGAAAGGTGCAGATTGCTCTCTTCTGCCCCAGTATTGCTTAGTTAAGTTTGAATCAGCATTGGTTATAAATACATGAAGTCAAGGGTAGAAATAGCTGAATAACATTAATCGACGAAGTCTTCCAGTTATTCGGTCTTTTACCATGACCTTAAAGATCTACTTTAGTCTTCAAACCTCACCAAGGGTGGCATTAATAAGATCTCCTCGACAAGCTTTATTACCTGACTTAATTTTGTAAGGTTTTTTTCATACTTTCAAAGTAGTTTCATTTCCATGTACTGTGAATTTGGTGCAATTATATGTAAAGTTTTAGGTTTTGATTTTGCTATTGAATTTGCGTGGGCACAAAGAGCGCAAATTTCCTGTAAATCGGTATAAATAACAAGAAGCCAACATTAAGTACTTCCCTACATGCGAATTTCTTCAAATTGAGAACAGTAGATAAGGTTTCTTTCTTACGTTAAATTAAGTATTTTGATAAATATGAATCATCCAATTATATAAAAATTGAAAGTAAAGCTATTAAAATAATCTTTCTTCTCAAATAATGTGTTTTATTCACTTCTTCAATGCTTCTTACAAAATGAGGCTGTATTTGTCTAAATGAAATAGCTGTAAACGGAATCTGGGCTGTGTGCTCTGACGGAACGACTGTACTCTTCTCATTTAGTTCGTTTTACAGAGTCTCCACACGTGGGTAACGAGCTCATCCCAAAAGCTTCCATTTAAACCCTCTCAGAACACCCACAAGATGTAGGTTCTGGTCATGCTGATAGCTCTCCCGTTTCCACTGAGGAAAGCCAAGGAAGGAGGGAGGCTGCTGGAGCGGCAGCAGCTTCCCCGCGGAGCTGATGCGCTTGGCTCCGAGTTTGATCTTGCACGTTTCCGTGTAAAGAGAGCGCTGGCTCAGGCGGCGCTCAGGGCCCTTCCAGCCCCTTCTGCTGCCTGCGAAGCGGAGGACGTGATCCCAAGAGAGGCTGAGCCGGCGGTGACGCATCAAACCCTTCCTTAGCAGAAGGCTCTGTCAGCAAAAGGCGGTGTCGCGGAGCTGATGCGCTTGGCTCCGAGTTTGATCGTGCACGTTTCCGTGTAAAGAGAGCGCTGGCTCAGGCGGCGCTCAGGGCCCTTCCAGCCCCTTCTGCTGCCTGCGAAGCGGAGGACGTGATCCCAAGAGAGGCTGAGCCGGCGGTGACGCATCAAACCCTTCCTTAGCAGAAGGCTCTGTCAGCAAAAGGCGGTGTCGCACCCTGATCTGGACACGGAAGGCGTAGTCTTTTCGCCGGGGACAGCGTTAAGCGTAGGAATGGGGCACCCCAGGGGTGCTGCAGCTGTTAGAATTTGTAGGCAAAAACTCAATTTTATTTTTCTCCTTTGCTTTATACAGGGCACGCCAGGGAATATTTGTTTTAGAGGTCGTTCTGGCTGCCGCTAGCCTTAGTATCTATGAATAAAGATGGGGTTTATGTCTGTTCACGTGACCACTGTAATGTTTCTTCATCCTTATGTAGTTTCTCAAGTGGGCATTCACTGCCTTTGTCCTTAAGTTTCAAACGAGAGGATAAGTAATTCTGAGGATGGGCAATGACACTCAAGCTTGTCATTGACCGCAATACCTATAGGAGCAGAGTTTGTCCTTCTTACTGTAGCACAGACCTGATCAGGCTTTTCTTCATCCTCGTCAGCATTAGGTAGAAAAGGATTCTGATTAACGTTTGCCTCCCCAAACACCAGAAAACACTGTTTTTCCAGAGGCGTAAGTTTCTTAGTGAGATTTTATGTTTGAACCAATTGTTCCTAACCTGTATTTGCTTTTCACCATAGACATGTCTCAGTTTCACTAAGAACTGCTGCCATCAGCATTTTTTTAAAGGAAAAGAATAGACAAGTACACTGATGGTGTAAATTCTATAAAAATACAGACGTGCTAGTTTTCAAGCAAGGTTTTGAGCCAACTGTTAAGATGCACACAAAAATAATTTATTTTCTTTAATTTTGTTTTAGGTTCGAAGGGTCTTGGCTTAGAAAGTAATCAGATCATTTTCTTTTCATCTCTAGCTGCCCCTAGACAATGCATTGAACTACACTTCGACGAAAAATATTCCATCGAGCCTTCCTGGGAGTGTAAATTTGACCACATTGAAGTACGAGATGGACCTTTTGGCTTTTCCCCAATCATTGGACGTTTCTGTGGACAGCAAAATCCACCTATGATAAAATCCAGCGGCAGATTCCTGTGGATTAAATTTTTTGCTGATGGTGAGCTGGAATCTATCGGGTTTTCTGCTCGGTATAATTTTACACCTGGTGAGTACAAACCATCACACTTTTTGATAGAAAAAGCTTATCATAGTAACTTTGCTAACGATGTATAACTGTGCTGCTGAATAATATCTTTAACTGGGACTATGTTTATTGCTGAGGAAAGTATTAGCAGGTAGGAAAATGATAGAAGGTATATATATCTTTTGCATAACAAGTCAGGATTATTCAAGGAAAAAGTTTTCAATACAGTTTTGCCCAGGGTGCATATATTCACCCTCTGCATTATTATTAAATAATTGTTTTCAATCAGATTCTATTGTAGAAAATAATTCAAAATGTTTCATGGGGAGTTATGGGGTTTATGCCGGATTGTTACGCTGCGTAGCTTTTCGTTCAAAATGATCATTGATAAAGTATGCTAATAAAAAAATGTAATCATCTCAGAAAATTCCATCATTGCTTTTCCACTTCAGCAGTCATTTCTCCAACCGAGGAGCGGACTAGTTCTCCCTTTTCGATAAAGTAAACTGTTACAAGTATTGCCAGAGGAAGCGTGAGGTTCAAATAGTAAAATGTATTAAATATTTTTCTAAAAAAGATGTACATCTTAATTGTAATTGTACAATTATTCCTTGCCACTTTTAAATTTAATCCATTAAAGTAAACCAAAATTCATAGTCATACTTTCCACCAATTCCCCTCCTTCCCCCACTTATTGAGAAAAGATTGCTGATTTTAAATTTGATTTTTGGCTGCAGCTATACTGTACTGCATTGCACTGCTGGATCTGACGTAGCTCTGTACCTTCTTATGTATTGAGTGATGAGTCATACCTTAATATAGCTCGCTCTAAAGCACTGTAATTATTATGTAATTTTGTCAATTATGTCACTATTGTTTCAGCTAAATTATTGTATTAGGTGGAACAATATTCTTTAGAATACCTGCTAAAATTAACAGGCCCCAAATTCTGCTTGCTTAATTATTCCAGTAGCATCACAGAAGGTAGCAGGACTACTTGAGTGCTCCTCTATGCAGTTTTCTTCCCCTAATACAAGGAAAATAGTTATAAAATTACCCAGCATAGTTCAGTTTTCTTTTAAGTCAAAGATGCTGTTTTCCAGAGGGTGAACATATTTAGAAGGTTCAAACAGCAACAGAACACAGAATTTCTGTAGCAGATAACCTGATAGCCAGGTATAGGTATCTATTGTAAGTGCAAAGATGATGGACAAAATTTTGCTACATCCACACATACTTGTCTCCGAAAAGTGAGTTAAATTTGTATTTTGTTTGCTCTGGCTCTGTGGGCTTGTGCCATTTTCCTCCCCATCCCTGCCAGAAGTTCTTTGCTTTAGATTTCATGTCCTTCTTGTTTCAGAGGGTTACATATCAGGTTGAAAAGATGTTCATAGCACAATCTGCAGCTTATTCTGTCAAGTGAAAAACAATTTCCTGGACCATGTTTTATCCTCATTTCTTTTCTACTGCTATAAGGTGGATTTCTACACAGAGATCAATGCTGCTAAATTGCTATAGCAGCATAAATTATTCCAGACATCAGGTGGAATAGCTATGTCTTTTTTCTTGTTTCTGTCTTTTTTTTTTTTTTTCCCCTCGATAGATTTCAATAGGAAGCTCTGCAAACGATAGAGGGTTTCTAGGAATATTGGCCAAAATGAGAATATATGATCAGTGTGACAAGTGGAAAACAGCACTGCTGCCTCCCTGATCACCAGCGAGGGGGAGCAGTTCTCGCTCCACAGGACTCCTTGACCCACCCTTTATTACACAGGCCCAGATAACGCTTGACACGTTGAGCTCTCTTGTCCCAGTGTGCGCAGCGGGAGGGGTCACTGCCAGCTCCTCAAAAAGAGTGACAGCTTTCGTGACCATGTAAGAGTAGCACAGAGAGGCATTGCCTCCAGAAATCATCACCTAAACCACTCACATCCACCTTGGGTGGTGACACCTTATGAAATCATGAACAAAGGAGGGAGCAGAAGAAGATTTTCAGCTCACTTTTCTTTAAAGAACATCAAGAAAGTGATCCAAAGCAAAGACACCCTTGGAAGCCATTGGTGTCTAGCGCAGCTGAATGCTCCGAAGAGACACAACTTGTTGCTTCCATCTCACCAGGCACGAGCAGCCCCCTCTGCCCAACCACAGCCCACATAGGAGACTCCCGACCAACCCCCCCAGCCCAGTGACAAGCACAGCAGAGCTAAATCTTTAGTAGCAGCGACTTGTGATGGTCCCCACCTGTGTGGCCCCCACCCACCCCCCCACCCCAGTCCATAACTTGATAGAGGCTCTGGTTTGTTGATAAAGAGGAGACATGGGATGCTGGAGGTGTGGGGGTGTTGCAGGATTTCAAAAAAAGTGAGTAAATTTGACTAACTTGAAGCAGCAGCCATTTGTTATTATGTGAATGGTACCTGAAAGAGCAGGGAAAGATGTTATTTGCTGCGTCTCTAGGGTGCACAAAGCCAGCTAACTGGATTAAGTTGAAAAAACCAATCAATTAGGATATCAGGAAAAATGTTTTGATGAAAATTTGTTAGTCTGTGCGAATGGAAGGAGCCCTGTCACCTGGGGCATTTTAAAAATAGTTTGGATAAAGTCCTAAAAAAACAAATTATATAGAACAATCCTGAGGAACAGAGTATTGTTTTGCAATTACTATTACTTTTCTGGTTAATAATTTCTTTGACTCCTTGTTATTGAAATAGTTGGAACTCCATCCATCGATGCAAAAATCTGGTGGAGTTTCAACAGTCCCTCAACAGGCTGGGATTTCAGGCAGCTTGAAGCAAAGAGCATTCCCTTGCCATAGATTTTGTGCTATTTAAATAGGGTTTTTTTCAGAGAGCTTTTCAGCACTCCAAAAGGTGAGATCTAGCAGAAGAAACAATTTAGTGACAAATCCAGAACTACACACAAAACCAGCGAAACCACATCCGGTAAGTGGTAAAGCTACTGAAAAATTTGCAAAAATGTTCCTGATTAAGAGGATAATTTAAGGTTTCATTTTGGTGATTCTAAAAATTACAGAGCTAAGCAAGATGTGGTTGAATGAGGCTGGATGTATGATATAAGGTCTGACTAGTTTAATGTGAAAACTCTGGGTTAAGAGAAGAAGTTACCTTTTCTTTTATATTATTACAGATGAATACCAGTAATCAGATGCAATTTGGATGTAAAATAAATTTTCAACCCTCTTGTATACATGAGAGTTTATAAGGAAAACAAAACATATTTACTCTTTATATATTATTTTAATCTTACTTTTTATTGATAAATGCTCATTAACTGTGAGCATTTCTAAATGGAACTATCTGAACCTATGAAACCTTCATAAACGTATTTTGTTGGGGTTTTTTGCAAATCTCATCTACAAAAGAAATAGCATATCAGACTACAATATTTTCAGGTTGTTCTGATTCGTTTTGAGTGCAAATATGATTGGCTAGGGGAAGACACACGAGATGAGTCATATGATCATTCTTTCTTGCTCTTTTTTTCTTGTCATTCTTTTGGCCATTGAAAGGCCAATGTCTGAAATTTCATTTTACATCTCTGGGCCCTTGGACTCAATGTGTTACCCTCGTTTTTCCTAAAAAGTTATGTCTCAAGAGCATTTTCTGAAATGATATTGAATCATTGTTTTGTGTAGAAAAATTCAAGTGTTACTTCAAGGGGACTTACTGTTGACAACCATTCTTCAAAATGAGACAGTTTTTTAGGGTAGACAAGGAATCAGAGAGAGAGAGGGGATATGTTTATTTGAGCTTTCTTACTCAGCTAGAATAATCAGATCTCTGTTTATCCTGGTCCCTGATTTTGCAGGCCAGTGGCTTAAGACAGCACATTGCTTTCAGTTCCTTCACTTAGCAGAAGCCATCTGTGTTTTTATTTAGCCCCATTGATAGAAAGGTCAGTCAGTAACATTTTCTGTTCAGCTGCCTGATAACGGGAAAAGAAAGCAAGCTTTGTACTCTTACTTCCCCAAAAGTGGAGTGTAAAACACTGCCTAATCAGAATAACGGTACTTTTACACCCCCCTTGCAGTGGCACAAGTAGCTGCAGAATGTCAGAGCAATAGAATAATGACATCATTTATCCCGGGGCAAAAAAAACCCAAGCCAAACTCTTCCTGATTGGGGATTTTCCGTATCTTAGGACTGGTGAAAATTTTAATGTGAATTTGTTAGATTCAGTCACAGCTCTAAAGAACTTAGATAAGATATTGTCAAATCGTTTTGCCTTTTAATGTCCGTGTTCTGCCTTGCGTGTGTGTAAGGATGGGGTCTGTCCCAGGCATCTGGGGCAGCTGGATGCTTGTGGGATCTTGCTCCTTTGCTTTTTATTTTCCCGTTCTCTTCTGAACTTGGGTTGATTGCTTCAAGGTTAACATCGGCAGTGACAACAACTGCTTGCTCCCTTGCTTTTATTTATTTGTTTGTTTATTTTCCTGTTTTCTTCTGAACTTGGGTTGATTACTTCAAGGTTAACATCGGCAGTGACAACAACTTTTCCCCAACTCGTAATCCACTGAAGTTTTCTGAGAAACAACAAAAAAATCTGAGCTGTGCAACTTTGGATGAGTCGATCTTTTTCCTTTGGGGTCAGAGTTGGTTTGAAACGATGAGAAATTACTCATTACAACACTTTGTTTAAACTTTTAAGCCAGAACCTTCTGATTTTTTTTAAAGAAAAAAAAAGTGAATTTATTTTATTTACTGCGATTTCCAGCCCTCAGCACTTCCAATTGTCATAAGCAGCTTCCTTGAGTTATCAACTATTCGTGCGCTCATACAAGCGTGCAAAAGCCAGGCACTGGGTGGCTGTTTATGATGTGTGAGGGCATCTGCTCTCGTGAAGAAGGGATTTCACCGTAACATCTAGGGTGATGCATCTACATGTTGAAAATCATGACCAACTACATAAATACAGTCTTTTCAAGGGAATGTGATTTGTGTTGGGCTGTTCTATAGATTGAATTAACTTAGAGGAACTGTAGGATTAGGCCCAGATTATTT